TATATAAGTCACGAGAAAAGTATGTATAGCCATTCCGATGCAACGTTAAGTTAAATGCTAGAATGCCTCATAAATATTATTGCAAAATGCAAATTGAGTGAATTTGCAATCGGATTTTGTGACAGCAAAAAAATGTATGTGACAATTTTTTTTTGTGATCGGACCAATGTCCGATCAAAATTACTTTTGCTCGGACATTTGCTAAATTTAGTCGGACATTGTCCGATGTCCGACAGTAATTTGCAGCCCTGAAGCTTCCCTCGCTTCTCATATGAAATCAATAGACTATTCTGATATTAATATGCCAATAACAAAATGTGTAGAATAACAACAATGCATCGATCATTACCATATAAGGTCATGATAAGCCATTGCTTGCAATATTTAAAATAACACAACAATCCATGATTTACCGTAATTAAACAAGTTAAAATAACTCGCTACCAGTATCGTACAACAATTCAAAACCATGGCAAGTGTTCTATTAAGAATTAAAATCGTAACAAGCTTAAACAACGGTATAATTCATGTTTGACGGCAGTAATGTCTATTTATAAATGTCGAGCAGAGTACTGGATCCAAATGTACTGGTTTTCGTACAAAATTCGCCGGTGTTTCCCAGAGCCTAAGCAAGCCTCCACAGAGGATTGCAGGCTAAAGTTTCGAGATTGGTCAATTCAGTGATATGTGCAAGACTCTCCCATTGATGAGTAAAATAATCTGCCATTAGACCAAGTAAATTCATTTGATAAACTTGGTGCACGTACTTGGGCAGATTGCAGCTTAATGGGTAAATTAACAGTCAATTGCACTCATGCACTGACGACTAATATACGTGCCACCTAATCGCACAATACTTGACAAGTTTAAAAATAATAAGCTACTGTAGCTTTGGAAACAAAATTCTATCACTTAATGTCACTTAATATCCATATGATTTGTCAACTGTTAATCCAAGCAGAATATTACATTTGCCAGATTACAAGGACTGAATCCTTCACAAAAATTATTTGTTATCCATGCCAGTACGTCATTGGCATGATCGAGATGTGGCAGCATTCTGGTTGAGATATCCCAAAGCCCTAGTTGGATAATAGATAATGGTTACTTTACTAGTAATTAGAGACCGGGTCCAAGGTATAATCAATGCATTTATGCATTAAATAATTCAAACTACAGTTTCTAAACAATAAAGGAACTAAGACAAAAGAATTTATATTTACCAAAATAATGAAAATCTGATGTGAATATTCTGGTTGTAACGAGCTGTTCTAGTGTGAATAATCTGGTTACAACAATTTAGGTGTTCTGGTGTGAATATGCTGGGGTTTTTTCTGCCTTAGTACAGTAACGTGTAAATAATGTTCAGTGGCGAAAATCTCGGTGGGGCGGGGGGCGAGCGACCGCCCCCGGCCACCTTTACGGAAAGTTTACGAATTTTCGGAACTCTTGATCTAAAGAAGGCTAAAAGCGGCCTTTTCGAGTGCAAATAGGGGGTTTGTCGGAAATTTGAAAGTTTTGTCGGATATTTAGGAGGCTTTGCCCCCAACCCAACCCCCCCCCCCCAACCGGAAAAAGTGAATTTCCGCCACTGATAATGTTATCTTGGTTCACACCTACTTGTGTCATTGAGAGGGACAACATAACCGCCTGACGACAAGGCCGGTGGTATATAGTGCCCAGAGAGAAGAAATCATGATTGATTATGTTTTCTAAGGTATCAGCTGTTTTTATATTTTCCTATTTTCTCTCAAATATATAGATCCTTTCACTTGGATGTGATTCAATTCTTGTTCTGAAATGGCTGGCTGGGACCGACAGTAAGATAATCAGTTTTATTTTTTCTATGTTTATTATAATTCAGAACACTCTTTGTTCATGACAGGGAGCTGCATGTATATATCTGGAGTGAGAACTCAAGTTTAAAAAGTGAAGCCAAAGATGCATGGAGCTATTGGACGGCAGTTACTGTTAGCCTTTTCTATTGTTTTTTCTCTGCGCGGTCTTCAAGGAATGTACCAACATTTCGTATTTTGACATCGATTTAAAGAATAATACTTTGATTTTGTGAACTGATAACTTTGAATTAAAAACTCGAATTAACTGGGGAAAATGGTATTAAAACTGTTTACGACTTTCATAGCTAAATTGGTCGTGAATTCCGCCACCTTTGACTTCACTTTTCTCATGGACTGAATGACTGAAGTCCTTGCTCCAGGTACTTTATACATGTATATAGAGCTGGAGGGTTTTTAGATGGAAATTAATGAGTGGAAATTCTATATACATTTATTAAACCTAACCAGGAAGAGCTGCAAAAAAATGCAATTATAGGTCTCTAGAAGATAGGAACGGCTAGCCGCGATCCCGGAACGGCGCTCTAACCAACTGAGCTACAGAGTCCAGTTGTCGAGCTCTAACCAGAAGTTCATGTATATATACTCGGAGGGTGGCCAAAAGGGGCACTTGTGTATATGACCAAAATCAAACGATTTTATGTCGTTCACGAGCCGAACGAAATTTTTTAAAAATATGACTTCGGAAATGGCCTTTATAGAGTCTTTACTACTGCAAAAAGGGCACTTTCTTACCAGCAAAAGAGGGCGTTCATTCAAGAAATACTTTTTTCGTTCTTTAAATGGGGCCTTTCAATAGCCCAGTGTAGTGAATGAATTTATTATACTTGCATACATGATCGAATATTGTAATTAGTACATGTGTATTTAGGTAAGAGTTTTGTGTAGTATTTAAAACGGGAGAAGGAGTGTTTTATCATATTTAAAACGCGAGACGCAGCCGGGCGTTTTAGATATGATAAAACGCGAGTTCGAGTGTTTTGAATAGCTTAAAATACGACTCCAAAAGAATACTAATTATGATGAACACTTATATAAAGAATACTAATGAAGATGAGTTTATCAGGTATAAAGTCATTCCACGTGACATATTATGGCTGACATGACTTGCCACAAGGTTTATGGATTTTTAATTATATTTTAAGTGGTATTTAAAATAAAGAAGTGTTTTATCATACGAGAAGAAGTGGTTTATCATATTTAAAACGCGAGGCGAAGCCGAGCGTTTTAGATATGATAAAACACGAGTTCGAGTGTTTTGAATAGCTTAAAATACGACTACAAAAAAATACTAATTTGGATGAACAATTATATAATCATACTAATTAGAATGAACAATCATGTAAAGAATTTACTATAATGAAGATGAGGTTTATATAAAACTTTTATCAGATATGAACTCACTCCACGTGACATATTATGGCTGACATGATTTGCCACAAGAATAATTATGAATTATTAATGAGTATTTTAAGTACTAGTTAAAATATAAGCAGCTGATCTTTATGGGCATTTACTGCGCGCTCGCCATTGTTAAGTACTATTTAATACACGCGTATGAGTGTTTTATCACATATAAAACACGACGGTAGCGGAGTGTTTTATATGTGATAAAACACGACTACAAGTGCTTTAAATGGCTTCAAAAACGACTCATCTTATACGAGTTCATTGGCGAAGTAATTTTTGAAATAAACTTTGTCTAAACCGAGAAAATCAAAGCTAAAGTTTATGTAAATTAACATGATTTTTTATCACATATAAAACCACGACACGCTTATGATTTTTCTTTGTGTTTTCCTCCTGAATTATTAATGCGTTTTTGAAATGTCCATAAAGATCAGTTGCGAATATTTTAACGTACTTGTAAAATGAATTTATTTGTTTACTTTATCAGTATTCTCTGCCCATTGGGACAATCTCACGCTTCATTAGCATGCTATTAAAAGTTAAATTAGTATTGTTAACTGTCAGAAACATCCATGCTTCTCAATTAGTATTGTTAACTTTCATAAACATCTCTCTAACAGACTTTCTGGTCTTTAATGCGGTGTACAAGTGTGCACATGTGACCTAAATACCGCATCGTGATTTGTTTGTGACCATAATTTATTAATTTTACAAATAATTTGAATATATATGCCTTCGACAGTTGAACAAGACGGGTATGTCTATTATTATAACTTAAGCCGGTTTTCCACTTCAAGCGTACCGTACCGAAACGTATCAAAAACGTTTTTAAATGTCAAAATTTCGTGAATATTGATTGGTTAGTAGTACGCCAAAAAGTTGACTTGCGACGAACTTTTTATTTTGATACGCGAATACACCAACACCGCGGAAAAACGTCTGCTATGCGTGGGCATAAAAAAGATGGCGAGGAATTTAAATGCCAAATTGTAAACAAAAACATGGCTATTTAGTGATTATATAGACGGGTAGTTTAGACATGAATAAAACGAGATTATCTATAGTGCGAGCTGCGAGTTGCGAGTTGCGAGTTGCGAGCTGCGAGTTGCGAGTTGCGAGTTGCGAGTTACGAGTATATTGTTAATTTCTAATAACATCGGGTTTAATTTTAACCCAGGGTTAACACTAACCTAGCTTTGAAGCACCGAACCAGGTGTTTACACCTGTGGTTTACACTAAAAATTCAAATTGAAAACTGTGTGGCATCCTGGCGGATGTGATTTTAGCTTTGTCTCAATTTGGCGCCAATTTTCAGCTTTTGAAATAAACATTCATTGCATTTATTTTTATACTTACAAACTTGTAAATAGCAATCGTTTTGATATACTGATGGTTTTTTCCCGTGTTTAGATAAAGTTTATGTATGTATATGTATGTCTATGTATGTCTATGTATAAATTGTATAAAATAAATTGTACTTCCGATGAAAAGGACTTGAGTTTTATAGGGTTCCCAGCGTTCAGTATATATAAACAAACTGAGTCGGTGTCTGGTCATACTTACTAATAAAATTAAATAACCATTTTAAGATTAGAAAGCACAAAATGGTCTGGATAACTACTAGATTTTATTAAACACAGAAACGGCAAATATAAACTTGCACTTTTATTTTCAAGATAATTATTTTAATTCTTGAACATACGTATCGATGGATCTAACAAAGTAAAAAAACAAGTAAAGGCCGATTTTTATCTCGTCCGTATCGCAGCATTTTCTTTTGTGTCGAAGTCTTAGTTACAGGGACCTTAACTTCGAAGGTCATTATATTTATGAAACAAAAAACCCTTCGACTTTGCCTTCCATGTCGTCCATATTAATATACTTTCAAAGCCTAATTCAAAGCGAGGCTAGCGACTCGCAACTCGCAACTCGCAGCTCGCAACTCGCAACTCGCAGCTCGCAACTCGCAACTCGCAGCTCGCAACTCGCAACTCGCAGCTCGCAACTCGCAACTCGCAGCTCGCAAAATAGCCGACCCCGAATAAAACGTTTTTTAACATTTAAAATCTAAAAAGAAACAGAATTTAAATTAAAAATTACCGTTTAAGACCGCGAGGCGCGTGAACATTTCTTTAAAAATTATCGAATACCGAACTTAAAGCAGGAAAGTTAAGAAAACAATAGAATAGTTGAGCATTTGCGCACGATTAAGTTGTAGCGTAAATCATTATCCTTAAATATAGTCAGCGCAAAAATTATACATGCTACGCAAAAAATGTTATGACAAAAATGTGGATCATATGAACCTACGAAAAAGATCTTTTTATGGTTCAGTTTTATATAACTAGAAAATACATGCATGCAGAAACCCTCGCCATGCTGAAAAAATCATTGTATTTCCCGAACATGAAGCAGAAGCTTAAGTATCTAAAGTAGTTGTCATGGTAACACGATAATTTTTTAAGAATATTCTTACAAATGAAAAATCGCCTAAAAATATCACTTTTAATTACAAAGTTATCAATTTCCCAACATATATATGTTAGGTACGTTATTATACGTAATATAAGCCTCAATTTAAAGTAAAATTCAACTACAAACGCTTCGCAAAACGTTTTAAAAATAAAGTGGTCTTTATAAAACTAAACTGCTTTTAATTAAATGGTTTTATCGATAAACTTTGAGTTTGCAATAAAATGATTTCAAATTAACTTTGCTTTCTTTTTTATTTAAAAAATTTAATATAATAAAAAAGGGAATCAATATTAAAGATACACTGAAGTTATATGCTGTCTTGTTTAGTTGTTTCATATACGCAAAGGCCGTCGGGTTTTAAAGGCATTATGAAATCAATATTTAAAACAAATTTGCCTTCGTTAATGTTGGCTCCTTTCTTTTAGCTGATTCTTTCATCCTTTCTTTCTGAGAAAGTTTTTGAAATTTACAAAATCTTGCAAAAATGCAGGCAAAAATTAAATATATTTGCAAGAAATTGATCAATCATCAAATCAAGAAATGTTTGCTATTTCGCTGTCGTAATGCAGTCGTTATAATGCAAACTTTAAATTGGACCAATCAGTGTTCGCTATTCATGACAGTCCGCCATATTTTTGAGATCAGTGAGGATGACCACCGATCGTTGGTCACCCACGCCCGCGATAATTGATGAACTTTAGACTTCGCTAATGCTTTCGTTCCCCCAGGTGTAAATAGCCGGGGGGAATTAGTACCCCCGTCGGCTCGGGGATAAATTTATCGACAGTCACCTTTGGTTTATTTTCTTGCATAATACTACCTCTTGCATATGTAAACTATAATTATTTCGACTAGTTTTAGGTTGTCACTTTCATTATTCCGCTTGCATTTTCATAGAAAAGGCAAAACATCGAAGTCACTTCCATTTTGAGTTTTTGACAACATTCAGAATACTTGACATCACGTTCGCAATACAGATTTTAGTACTGTTGACGCATGCGCAGACGTTTATCCGCGGTGTTGAATACACCCGGAAGTACGTGGATTTATAAACCTCTTTTCAATCTGCGCATGCTCACCAGTACGTTTCGCTACGATACGGGCGAAGTGGAAATCCCAGTGCATTTTTTAAGGATTCTTCAGTGGTGGAGCAAAACTGCCAAAGGGACCATTTTCTCCTTGCCCTCCCCCGAGGGTAGTATGTAATCGCCGAAAGTGTGAGGCGAGTACCGCAGGCACCAGTTAGTTATGGGGCAGACGCCCCCCAGGAAATTTTTAAAATTTGGGTCTCAGAAATAGCATTTCCTACATTCTGCGAACACATTTTAAAAAAATCTCAGCTTTTCAAAACAAAGTTCTAATGGTGAAATTTGTAATAAATTGCATGCTAAACATTCAAACACAACATAAGTTTAAGTATAATCACCAACAAATTTTGTTTTTTAAACTTCTTTTCAATGTTAAACTCATTTACTCAATACAGATATAGGGCCCTGGCTTTGGGGCAATAGGCCATTTTTTTTCTTCAGTGGTGAGGCAGAGGAATGGGCCCAGCGGGGCAAATGCCCCACCAGTCCATGGTATTAAAAAATGTCTTGGGAAAACCGGCTTTAGATTAATATAAGATTAAACGGTCACTACAGATAGCGACGAGGATGAACTGATTAAGAACTGAACATTTAATTAACATTCGTAACATGTCTAAAGGAGCGAAAGCGGGAAATTTTAGCGATATTGACGATATTAGTAATACGACAACAACAGTGATTGCGAATCGGCAATTAAATGTGAAACCGTTTATAACTTCGAGCAACGTGAACGAAACAGCAGTGCGTTCGGCGAAGTGGAAGAAAGATATCGAGAGGCAATTTCGATTCTTTGGTTTAGCAGACCCAAGTTTTAAGAGGGATGGCTTAATTATCTACGGCGGCCAATGCATTGCAGACTTATGGCGGTTTTCCACTAAGGCCTGTTTTATACGTCGAATTTCGGTCGCGTCGAATGCAATTCAAACAACAGATAATGAAGCTTAATGAGGTTTATCATCTCATTATCTATTGTCTTAATTGCATTCGACGCGACCAAAAATCGACGTATAAAACAGGCTTAAGCCAACTTTTTCGATCGAACCGAAATTCCTATTGTTCAAATTCAAGAGATTTGTGAGTGTTTAGTTCCATCTGAGAGCTTGTAAGACAAAAGGAAATTTCGATTCGATCGAAAAATTTCCCCTAGTGGAAAACCGCCTTTAGAAGATTCTTCACTCGACTAAACACCCGATGGAGATGAAGATACTTATGCTCAGCCAATTCGAAAGCTTGATAATCATTTCTTTATACCAAGAAAGAATAAGGACTATGCTAGATTTAAATTTGGAAATCTATCGCAACAAACATATGAAAATATGGCTCAATACTATACAAGAATTTGTGAGACGGCGAAAAAATGTGAATTCGCTAACGAAGACAAACAACAGACTTCGAGCTAAAAGTAATTCGCAACAATTAGAAATAAGGAAAACCAATTGTTTAGCAATATTCAAAGAACTGGAAAAAGGAGGATTGTAGTAAATGAATATATTATAGTTGCATTCATGATCGAATAGTATGATTAGTACATGTGTATTTAGGTAGGGTTTTGTATAATTTGAATATATGCCTTCGACAATTGAACAAGACGGGTACGTCTATTATTATAACTTAGATTAATATAAGATTAACCGTTCACTACACCCAGAAAAAAGGGCACTTTTTCACTTTTAAAAAAGTGGTCGGGCACATGCCCCACCCCGGTTCCACGGCCCCTGTATATACTAGGGTACTGCCGTGTTACGTGATGGGTAAATATCAAGAGCGCTGCACCGGAATCGCAGAGCCGCAGGTTCGATTCATGCCAGAGACCTATAGACCCCTTACACATGACGTCATAGCGCCGGTGACGATGCATCTGGAGGACAAATTAGCAATCTATGGATAATATAACTTTTGTAAACAAAGCAAATTTTGTAAAACTTTATAATAATTTTGTATTAAAATGGTTAATTTTTGCGATATATGTGGTTGTTGTACCCAAACAGATATTGTTAGGGAGCATCTGGAAGAAACTCTAAGGATTTGTGACGTCAGTGCAATGGGTCTGTAGTTGTATTTTTCACAGCTGTTCCTGGTTAGGTCTAATAAATGTGTATAGAATTCCACTCGATAATTTTCATCTACAAAACCCTTCAACTTGTATTGTTATATAGTTAGTGTCAAAGTTCAATTTTTCTGTTTGCCGATTGGTCAAAACCATATCACGTGCCGGCCCACAAAACGTTATGTTCACTGCGTGCTTTGTCAAGGAGGCAACCGGTCTACAATGAAACATTTATTGACCGGTTAATAATAAAATGGGTGCAATACGCATGCGTGCCAACCATGAAGTTCCAAAGTTCATTTTCTAAACTTTTTATTAAACGTTTCAAAATATAGGATCGGCGTTCCATTTATCCAGTTTTGGTTTTAAATTAAGTTCACTCCAATAACCGGTGAATTATTCATACATTGACACTTATATACTATATAACAAAACACTTATTTACTGAGATCTCGGGAAAGCAGTGTGTTTTGTGGCTCCTCGACCGCCGACACAAAACACACTGTTTTCCTCGGTCTCAGTAAATAAGTGATAATTATTCAATCGAGTGAGATGCCAACAAAATCTTGATATATATAGAACTCACTGCTTTCTGACACTACACATAAGTGAACATTTTTCAATTCTTGGAGAATCTTTTGCCTTTTCATTACATTGATGTTGGTAAGGTTGTCATTCAAGGCTTTATTTAAATTACTTGTTCGACAGAACGTTAAACGTTGCTGCTATAAGGACCTTATATTCTTATCATTATATAATTTCGTAGTACCTAAAGTTGGTATCATGAATCCAGCCATCATTATTAAACTGGTCGATACCGAATTCGAGTTTGAAACTGTTATTATTGCTATTGATGTAGTTCTTATTTTCCAGACTTTCTATACTATTGTTATTTCTAATTGTCCATTCCTCGTTTATGCGTTTAGTCTTTCCCAGTGACCGAGAAATCACTTGGAAAATGTAAACATTTATAGTATTTGCTAATTTATTTTAACAAGGAATGTTCTAAACCGATTGACAATGGTTTGCCGTGTACTGGTATATATTTACCATTCAACTTGTCTTCGTTTCAGTCATAACTATCTTCAAGAAAACATCGACTTTTCGAGCATATAGGCCCATCGTCTGGCGTTCTCCTTGTCTCTTTCAGGTACGACCAACCGTAGACCATATATTTTATACCAAGTAACAATTTTTATTTCAGGATGAAAATGCCCGCGATCAGGACTGAAATAGAACAGCTGCAGTCTGTCCTTACTGAATGTGAAGACCTCGTGAGAGAAGATAATTTCCCGAATTTGAAAAGGCAGCTTACATTGTTCATGGAAATGGTGCAGAAGCACACGGCTTCTGCAGGTATATTAGCGGATAATGAAGATTACGATGCTTTGTTGAAAGGGCTGAAGGAAGCCTCGGTTTCATGCTCCGAATGGCTTGACGAGAAAAAGTTGGAAATGAAACCTCTGCAAGCGGTCTTCAAATTGCTCAAGGACACCCCGTTTGTCAGCAGCGAAGAATTAAATTCCTTACTACCATGTGATCAAGCCACAAAGCGTCTAGTATGCTTGGCTTTTACACTATCTTCGGATGAAGATGCTCAATTTTCGAATATGCAAGAATTCCTAAAGAAACGTGAAATGCAGAAATTTGAAGAAACTGCTTCGCCTCTGGATGTTACTTTCACAATCCCTAAGGATGGTAACCAACGTAATGAAGGTGTGAAGTTTGTAGCCACAGAGGAACCTCTCAGTTGCGTGGGCTATAGGTAAGTTTTCATGAAGTAAATTAGTATATTAGGCCTACAAAACAATGATATTATCCACTCAAACCAGGAACCAAATCATCTGACCACGGCAAGAACAAGCCCGGTAAATGTTATAATTGATTAATTCATTCTAATGTTAATTGATTAATTAATTCTATCAATAGAAAACCGTATAAACTCACTTGTCCTTACCGAATGGCTGATAGATAGATGTTTGATATATTAATCGTACTCCTGTCATTCTATTTTTGAATTGTATTTTTGAATTATATTTCGCCATTCTGTTTTGTTTGGAATTTCGTTACGAATTTCGATAACTTTATGGAAAATGTCAAAATATGACCAGCTGGTGTGTGGCTGTAGTTCCCAAAGTCCCAACCATCTTCGCAATTGACGCGGCCAAAGTCTCATTTTGTTTTTAGTATTTAAAAGTAGATTCTTCTTCCAGTGAAAAGCCTGGCGTGTGTGTACGGTACTACTATGAAGGGGAATTTAAATCTCAGGACGTTTCTAGGGATTCTGTAGAGCCTACTTGGGATTATTCAGCGCCCCAACAGGATGGTAAAGAAGATAAAGTTCAATCTAAAACAGATCATGATGAACGGCGGATGTCATCGGCGGAGTGTAAGGTGACGATTCAAAAACTTAAACCTGCCATGCATGAAATACACTTTTAGAGTTCATTCACCCGATCAAATTTGCCTGGACGAAATTGTAGAGGTAGACACCATTACCAGGTCTACATCATTTTCCAGTAAATTTATCGTTGGCCCAGTTATTCTTGCAGTTGTGATTGCGGTAGGCTTTGGACTTTTCAAAACGTAATTAACACTGAGAAATAATAATTTCAAGACTGGGATTATCCCATGTATTTTTGAGGTACCAGGGATAGCTCTGTCACTGATGCTAAATCCTGCATATAAAACTGTCATTTCATATTATTTTAGTTTGTAAAATTGAGTTAGAGAGTACGGCCGGTGAGTTTTAAGTAAAATGGTTTCAAATTATCCAATTCTCGCATGAAAATAACCTTAATCTCCTCTTTATTAAAGAATGCAGAATAACAAAACTTGCCTAAGGTGGTTTCCCGATTTTCTGCAATCTATTGTTCCTGATCTTTTGTTATGAAGCAATAACAAATACACTGTTTGACTGCTCGTCTCATTAACGACATTTCGGGTTTCAGAATAATGTTTTTCCCAGTGGCGTAGCCACCCATAACAGTAGGTCATGCTATGCAAATTTGAATTGTATACGAGATCTTTCCACATTAAATAGTAAACCTTCTGTGTATTTCTAGGGAGCAAACGTTGTGGCTTTGCAAAGTTATAGAGCACAAGAAAGTAAAGGTTTCAATTTTGAAAAGGTTTGTGCTATAAATTCATTACACTGTCTATGTCAACCTCGTACCCAGGCTCTTTCCACTACGCGCCTCGCTGGAGGAAAGACCCTGGTTCAGACTGGTCATTTTGGGAGAGAACAACTGGCACTTATGGGGTGGGGAAGGCAAATGTGGCGTTCGAGTTCAAAACAATACAAGGAGTCAGTGTGAATAAAGCAACACAAAGGACTATACCATGAAACGAAGTTTTTATTCAAAACGAAACTCTACGTAAAATGTTTTAAATGTGAATTGAAAATAACTGCTTTTTGCCGATATGTATACTCTTCAACTCGAGCTTCAACTTATTACTCGCACTTTGAAATGAAATAAAGTTAATTCGTACAGGATGCTAATGAAAATAATTTGCTTTCCTTTTTATCATGAACTTTTACAAAAGTTAATTTAACTAAGAAACTTTCGCAAACAATACATAGCCATAGGAAACACTTGAACATCAAGAACAAAGTCTATATTAATACAAAGTCATACATAAACAATTGAAACAAACTTCCCCTGTACTTTAGGATTTCTCATACTAAATCAATTCTTATAAATGTTTACGTTTAATAATTGTAAAAAAAAATTTACAATTTGTTATTTGAAACGATTTTCCAAGCTTTCTTACTTGTATTTTTTATATTTTTTGCCTTCTTCACTCCTGGCAAACAGCCATGTTTTGAGATCAGTGAGATAACCACCCACCCAAAACGCACAGTGACCCACGCCCGCGATCATTGATGAACTTTAGACTTCGCTAATGCTTTCGTTTTCCCGGGTGTAAACATTCTCGTACCCAGAGCCCTTCTTACGCGCGTTCGACCGAGCACGACGAGGGGCTCTGGCCAAATCCATATCAAACTGGCTTCTGATTGGTCACAACGAAATATATGGTTTATTATAGTAAATATGAATAAAAATACACAAGCGCTCCACGAAGCGTTGGTTTCCCTTTGAAAATTGGGAGAAAAGACATTATTAAAGTTGAAAGAACAGCAGTACGAAGCAGTTAGGAAGATTGTTGTTGATAATCGCCCACAAAAGCAGTAGATGTCGCTAATTTTATTTATTTAACTGATCAATTAGTTGATTGAAATTAATAGATTGAGACGTGATGTTCTCGTAGCAAAAAGTCAGCATATTTATGGGAGATGCTCGTCGTATTTCCAAATCAGTGATGTTAATCAAACAAATCTGTGTTACATGTTCAATGCTGAAGTGCCATCTGAAGAGAAAATATTAAAGCCAGCCAGAATATGAAGTTAATTGTGATGACTATTTTCTTCCTAGAAACCGATTTTTTACAATTTTCAAATGATTTGCAGTATAGTATGTCTTATGTATGACTGTTGACTTTTAATAAAACACAAAAAAAGTCTAAAAATCTGTACAACAGCGACTTAAAATCGAATATAAAATAGTGAGACAATCTCTCGTCTTCGTATCCGTAGCCATTACTGCTTTGGCAACGTTTAAGAGGGAAATATATACTAAATTTTTATCAACATGCATTGAGAACATCACGTCTTACCTACTAATTGATTTAAATAAATAAAATTAGCGAAACCTACCGCTTTTGTGGGGTTTTCCTGGAGAAAAACTTTCAAAACGAAACAAACAAGAAAGCCGAAGTGTTTATCCGCGTTTGACGTTGAGCATGCGCAGTGTTTAACCGGATACCATGTTTTTATGGTATCCGGTTATGGATTTGGCCAGAGCCCCTCGTCGTGCTCCGTTGACCGCGCGTAAGAAGGGCTCTGGGTACGAGAATGGGGTGTAAATAGCCGGGCGGAATTAGTACCCTCGCCCCGGGCTTACGCCCGGAACGGCGGTTTGCGCCGTTGGCTCGGGGAAAACGTAAATAGACGATAGATGTTCTTCTCGAAGCTCGCTCAGCGACACAGTTTCGGGTTTAGTTCTACATATCAACAAGAAAAGGCAGAATCCTCAGAAATTGCTGTTGAGTGTTGTATTCGGCAGAACATTTGTTTAACCAGAATCATGATTGGATATTAATTGATATTTGTGAGCGATTATTAAATAACCGCTGTTCTTGTAAAGTTATACTGCGAGCGGTCCCTCCTTTCCGCGTAAAGTACTGTGTGGTCGATTTTCCAATTTTGTTAAACTGAACATGTTCAATGAAGAATAAATAAGTACATTAATATACAGAGTATTTAGCTCGATATTCTCTCTAATAAATCCTATATTTTGGGTATTTATAGGAGCGTATTTATTTGCAATCGATTGTTTCCCCAGTGAAATATGATCAATGTTTACATAAAATTGTATACTGTGCTCTTGCTTTAACTGGGTGATAGCTTTGTATTCTGTTTTAGAATTTCTTTTAAAACTTTTAGCATGTCACGACAGATAACTAAAGGTATACAAGTAAGGCCCAATATATTTCTAATGTTTGTAACTTAATACGCGCAGTCAAATTTAAATTAACGGAATTTATCTGACAAACACATTTTAATATTATGAGGAGTCAAACGGCTGAGTCAAATTTGCAGAAAATACTTCTTCGCTTCATATTTTCTTTCTTATATGAAAAGAATCATTATACATACAGTTTTAAAACAGCAAGTTTATTCACTCTCTATTGCCTTATATAGCTTATTTATTCCTTTGCCCGCCGTTTGTCTTTTAACGTATGAACGCCAGGCTGAGACTCTCTATTAAAAACATGTGTGCATGAAGAATTAAAGTACACACGAGGAAATAGACATATACTATCGATACTCATGTGCACACTATATAATATATTTTCTTACTGTTATTGCTATATGCATGTGTCGTGTTATCGAGCCGTTCCACTTATGATTAAAATTTACGGCAATTTACAATAGACTCGCTGTTGGCTGTATATTACAAATCCTTTCCTAGTACTTCTTTACAGTTTTCCCAATATGAAACTGAAATACTCCAGTATGTAGATCTTGCGTAGCGACGTCGCAAATGCAATCCACAAACAATACATATACAAGGACATCTCACCCATTGATTTTGCAACACAAGCTGGTGCTATTCGTTAAAATTACATGCGTTTGTTAAAATGCACACAAGAAGTCAGGCAGATAGAGGATCAAAATTATGGAAAACTTACCATATCGTGGGACAATTCCATTTTGCCTTCATATTGTGCCCTGAAGGCTAGTAAGTACGTTTCTGTATGTTGGCCGCGTTAAAATTTCTTGTGGGCTTCTGCCGACACGTTTTTCTTCGAATTTTGTATTAAACTCTATTACAGTTCAAAAATGTGAAATTTCTGATACATTTCTAATACAAATGACTTGCATCAATAGAAAGCTAACAAAAAAGTACATATAAGACATTTAAATGGTTAGTGGGGATTTTCAAGCGGTTTTTGAGTTATTGCCGTTCCAAATGTGAAAAATAAGCCAAAATCTCGCAAAATTCTTCGGTACTAGTCTGAAAACACGCATTCAACAGCTCATAACTCAAGAAGAACTTGAAAAAAACGGTTGACTGTTTAAATGTCTTATATGTAGTTTTTTGCAAGCTTTCAAATGATGTAAGTCATTTGTGTTAGAAATGTATTTGATATTTCACATTTTCAAGAACTTTTGACGCGGCCAACATACAGAAACGTACTTACTAGCCTTCAGGGCACAATATGAAGGCAAAATGGAATTGTCCCACGATATAGTAAGTTTTTTCCTTCTATCTGCCCGACTATCTGAACTTTATCGAATTGATATCTGCTACTATAGATCGGTAAACAAACTTCGCCCCCCACCCTTACGTAAAATTTTGTTATCTCCCAAAATCTGGGAGACACTTGACCAGCCTGGACAAGTGTCTTTCCTCCAGCGAGGCGAGTAGTCGAAAGAGCCTGGGTACGAGGTTGTGTCTATATATGTTTGTATTGTATTAAATTTGTATAGTGTATTTAAAGTATGATATAGCATGTGAAAGAAGCAATAATCTTCATATTATATTGATAAATTATGTTCGGTATTTGCACTGCATGATGATTTTTTATACTTGTGAATAGACAGCTTTAGCAAAGGTAACGCGACGTCAATCAGGACGTGAAAATTACGTCATACACCTCGCGTTTACTTCCGGTTTGAATTGCGACTTCGTGTTTATCTTTTTCGAAGCAAATTTCTTGGGGTTTTTTCGCTGCTTGCATATTTCTTTATCCTTTTCAATTGTTTGTCAAAGTAGGTGCAAGAAAATGCTTTAATATGGTGGCCGAATGTTTTCTGAAGATTTTCTATGAACATTCAACGATGAAGTTCTTTTTGAAAAAAACTAGTATATTTTGTTGTTTCCCAACAAGTGAATTTTATCGCATCATTCAGACGCAAAAGCTTAAGGTATTACTTACGAGTTCAATACTTAGGTATAGCTTGCGTAGCAGTCGCTTTATTTTATTGAAGGTTTTGAGGATCATTTATTCAAAACTCCTCAAAACTTTCAATAATTTTTTTCTACATTTTAAATTCTTGTTATTCTAATTGAGATGTTGTGTTTTAAAATGCGTCTTTTGGTCAGAAATAAAAGCAGTATTGAAGAGGAGGTTAATTAATAATGCTTGCAATCAACGCGTCCAAAACGCAGTGGAATATATGAGCACAAACTTGTCAATCAAAGTTAATGTTAATCCGAAACGTTATGAGATTATTTTACTTCTAGGTGGAATTAAGAAAGTCCATCAAACATCGGGAGAAAATTCAGAATTTGGAAGAGTTGGAGGAGGAACATTTGACAAAGGTAAAAAATTTGAATCGAAAAGAAAACCAATTTTAGTTGATACAAAGTGATTAGCTTGTTCTGATTATTAGGCGAACATAGTTTACAATACAATGTAATATACTAGAAATACATGCATGCAGAAACCCTCGATTTACTGATAAAACCATTATATTTTCCGAACATGAAGTATTTAAAGTAGTTGTCATGGTAAAAAACATAATTTTATTAAGAATATTTTTAAATTGAACAAGACGCTCTACGGAGCGTTAACTCGCTGGGGCTATACAAATACGTACATTACTGTACATGATACAGGGTGAGTAAAAAAAAACCTGATACCTTCGCGACTAATTTGAATAACAAAGTTATCAGTTTTTTTTACTCACCCTGTACAGTACACAATTTCAATGGACCATTTGCATTATAGACTAAATTTTGATCTAGACAAAAATTTCATCACAGCTTGAAAGAGCATCACAAAATTAGTAATATTCCAAAGTTTCGTTGCGAAATGTTGTAAAATGCGGATAATATAGCCTTGCGAAATTTGC